TGAGTGGGCTGAGGGATGCGGTGGGTGTCGAGGCGAGTAGAGTGGAGTCGAGTCTAAGGGCTGCGGACGGAATGGCAATTGGAAAAAGCGCTCGTGTCGGAAGTCCGTAGAGCTTCCATCAAGTGCCAACTTGAACATAAATAGTTAAGACACGTCTTTTAATGGACAGAAGTAAAAAAAAAAAACGGACAACAATCTGCTGCTGGTTGGCGTAAAAAGTGCAAAGCGCATAAAAAGTGTAGCATACTTATAAGCGCTAAATATAATTGAATCTGTTCAGATATTGATGCCTTATTATATTTTTGCAGCTGTTTAAACTGAATAAAATGTAAAGATTTAGCCTTTTATTTGCTTTTAATGATACAATATTTGTATACTATTATTTTTTTTTTATTTACTTAGACAATTTTTCATATAATTATATGAAAATAGAAAATTAAATCTAGAGCAAAGTCTTGTCATGTGAAATATTCGGGCTAATTATATAATTTTTATATTATATTTAATAATATATATATATTTTTTTTTGATTTTGTGATATGAATTATGATATTATTATCATTATTTTTTTTTAACCATATATTTGGAATCTCTCTAACTTTTTACTTTTGTGTATTTATAATTATATAAAATGTTTAACAACATATTTGTTATTTATTAATATTTATTTATTATCTAATTGAAAATTAATTAACTTCTTGTACTACTTTAGTTAACATTGATGTTTTCCTAATAAGAAATAAAGATATTAGATTTTCTTAATTAACTGATAATGCTGCACATTAAAAAAATGATAATCTGGAATTTCTGCAGAAATATTTTAACCTAATTGCATAATCTAAAAGTGGCCGTGGCGCCTGAGATTCCCGCGGCACACAGGTGAGCAGGGCTTACGCCCAATTCTTGGGAAATTCGTGCGCTGTGCCTGCGACGAGCCCAAAAGTTGAAATGAGTGTCCAGCCAAGGTGTCAAAGCCAAAGACAATAGAAACATGCACTGACACCAATACAAATACACACACACACACACACACACAGACATAGACAGAGCGAACTTCGTGGTCGGTCATCGTGCTGGTGCTTACGTCACAAATGTGCGTAGGCGTCATCATCGTGCGACAGCGACGCACCCACTGCCCCGTCGTAGTTCAGTCCAGTCGGGACTCGTCGTCGTCGTCGTCGCTCATTGAAAGAGCAAAAGGGCCACTGCCGTCGTCAGTGCGGCGCGATAATGTCTCCATGTCGTACACTAGATGCTTTCCCCAACCGTGGAGCGGTGTTTGCTCAATGAAATTCGTAACTTCGATTTTTTGTTGTTGACGTAGTCGCCGCTGTTGTTGCGGCCGTCGGCTGTGCACTGCGCCGGCGCCTCGCTGAATCATCTGTTGTTGTCGCCCTGTTGCCACACCGTCCGCCTGCCCTGGCCCAGCCAATGCATTTCGCTTGTGGTAGGACAGTTTACGAGCAGCTACTGGGAGCTGGGCTGGCCAGAAGGCTGCCCTCTGCTGCGGTATGGGAGACAACAGCGTTGCTCAGCTCGCTCAGCTGTTCGCTGCGTGTGTAGACTTTTCAGCGCCACTGTAGAGTTTTGTGCAACAAATTGTGTATTGAAGCCGGCTTTTTGCTCGGCTCTCTCAATACGGATTTTGGTTAAAGAGTTGGAGTAGTTTTGGAAATAGTTTGTAAAGGAGAGATTTTTTAATTTATATATTGTATACATTCTATATTGTTAAATTTATAATTATTAAAATTTTTCGTTATTAAATAAAAAATTAAATTTTTATTTTTATTATATGTAAGTATGTTTATTATTGAATTTTTAATTTTTAATTTTTTTTACATATATTTATTTTTATTATAAATAAATATATTTATTATTGCAGAGATTTTTTAATTTCATTTTTATAAATATAATTAATTAATTTTTATTTTTCACATATTCATATTTTTTATTTATTTTGTTTTTAATTTTTTATATAGTTTGCATTTTCACAGTTTTTTATTTTTATTGTCTTTTCATATATCTTTACTTTCGTTTAATTCCATATTATTTCAATTTGAATTCAATTCACAAACAAAAAACTCTACACAAAATTCACAAACGTCATACGAAATTGTCCAAAAAACTAAAAGGGAACCACAACAGCGCAAATTCTCATTCAGATGGCGCGATGCTGGCTTAAACTTCGTCCCGCAATTAAACTATATTATAATTTTTTGTGCTGGCTCGTAAAACGTAAAAGCCACAGACATTGTGACGACAACAGCAAACCGAGCAAAACTATCCATGGCCGGCACCTGCCCCAATGCCCATCCCATATGATGAATTTCAGATGAGCCACACACACACACACATATATATACACGAAGGGAAAGCAGCATCAGTATCGAATCGAAATCAGCCGCAGCAGCAGAGGCCGTCGATGACGATGATCCTTGCATAGTATAAGTACATAAGTATAGCTATGAATTCTCTGCTCGTAGTTCTCCTTCATTCATGTCGGCTCCATTCGGTTCTCTATCTAGGTGCCTTGCAATTCATGTGCTCTGTTTTCTATTGTTGTTGCACTTGTTGTTATGGCCGTATTGTTTTGTTTTCCTTTTTACAACTATCTCAAATGTGTGGGCGTCATCAATTTTCGAAACCGCCAATTCGAAATAGGGGCTAAAAGCTAGGGGTAGGAATATGCGCTTGCTTGTATAACTAGAGCTAGAGTAAAGCAGCTTGGATGCGACAGTATTAGATGTGCTTTGAGATAAACTAAGATGGGCTGATGTTTACAAATAATTTAGTTCTTAATTTAGATTTTTAAGAGCATGTTAAACTGAGTAGATATAAGATGTAAGTATTAAATATTTTTGATATGCATATAGTTTTTATATTACATGTATTGTTGTTTATATTTTCAATATTTAATATTTTTAGCTGAATGTTGACATGTAAGATAAAAGTATTAAATGAAACAAATTAAAAGAAATCAAAAAAATGTAACTAAATATATTATTAATATGAACAAAATATATGTTATATATTTTTTTAAAAATGAGCTTTTATTCAGCTTTTATATTTTTATGTTTAGCTATTTATTTATTATTACTCAATTAATTATTTAAAAATATAATTAATTTGTAACTAATAAATCCATTCTATTTAATATTAAATGCATCATTTTTAAAATTTTGTATATATTAATTGTAATTTATATAAGTCGATAATAAGTCTCGAAAATTCATAATATAAATAAAATGATATGAAATCATAGTTTTAATTCATGTGTTTTTTCCCTTGAACTAACTTCTTAGTCAATGCTCTGAAATTCTTTGAAGTAATTGTAGATAAACTAAATCAAAAATTAGTTTCTGCGCTTTATTATGTGGCCGCTCATCAAAGTTTCTATATAAGAGCTACGGCATTGGGTTTAACCACACGAAATCAATTATCAAACTAAACCGCGATTTCTTCAAGGGACTATGGGTAGATAGAAGAAGAAGCACAAAAATCCCTGCTGCTAATAGGAAAATCCTATTAACATTATGAACTAGCTAAATGCGAAAATTCGAACATATCGCTGCCCCTACGAGGGACATCATATGGGAGATGCCGGCTCAATGGGCGCAGCTAGAGCGTAACGTACAAGTGCTTTCTCTCTCGCTCGCACACTGGCTCACTTGTGTGCTCGCTCTCCTTCTTTCTCCCTCTCTCGCTTAGGCTCTCTCCTCGGTGTATGTTCGTTTTCGCTCAGTTTGGCGAAAAACTCTACACATGACGCAGCGCACGGGCTGCTGGTCTGACGCGACTTCGGCTCTGGCATCGGCCTCGGCTCTGCTTTCGGCTACAGCTTCAGCTTTGGCTTTGGCTTGAAAACAAGTGGTTGAGCGTGCGGCCTGCTCAGTATTGAGCGAACAAACGTAAACGTCGTTTCGTGCTCGTTGTCCGTCGACTGAGTAAACGCACAGGAAGCAGCAGCAGCAGCAGCAGCAACAGCAGCAACAACAGCAGCAGCGGCAACAGCCAGAAGCAGTAGCAGACGCAGCAGCCAGCGGCCAGGACAAGTGAAATTCGAGGCACGGGCGACACAAGCAACAGCAACAGCAACAACGAGCAGCATTCGCCCGAAACGAATGCACAACGAACCTCGCACGACGACTACGACTAGAATCGACTCACCCATACACAAACACACACACACACACACACACACACACACACACACACGCATACACATCGACACTCACTCATATAGGGGCAAGTGGCGGCGTGTATGAACATCTATAAAGTGGAAATACGAAACGCCTTGAGGAGAGCAGCGCCGACGTCGCACTCCGTGACGGCAACAGCAGCAGCAGCAGCGGCAGCGACAGCGACAGCGAACGCGTCAACCAAAAGGCAGACAAACAGGCAAAACCTGCTGAGACGATACGACGAGTCCTTGCTCGTCGGTTCATATGTGCGGAACATTGAAGAGATACACTAGAACAAGTTTTCACACCAAATAAGAAACTCCACACACTCACAACAACAACAACAACAAAATACCAAAGGAAAATAAATTAAAAACAAACAACAATAACAAAACAGCATCAAGCATAACAACAACAATAACAACAAGAAGCAATCAAGTGAAATTCGTGAAAAATACAAGTTTTTAAAGTGCAAACTTATTTCCTCCCCTCTTACAAAAGATATACTAACAAATATTTCTAAAAAGTTTTCGAAAATTTATCAAAAACAAACAAAAGTACAGCAAAGCAAAAAACGTGCAAGATCTGTGAAACAAATACAATAATAATACAAATAATTAAAAGTATATAATATATATATATATAAAACTAAAACAAAAGTGCCGCAGCTGAGCGCTAAGCAAAAAAGTGCTAAAAAGTTCCTTCAACAAAAAAAAAAAAAATAAAAAAAAAATATATATATATATATATAATATAAAATATATATACACAAGAATAATAACAAATATTGTTATAACTGTAACAGATATATACAACAAAACAAAAATTATACACAATACAAGTTTTCTTTGCATTTTTATTAAACAAATACACAAGATCTGAGAAACGAACGAAGATAAACCCAAGTGCCGTGCGTTCAGTTACTGTCTCCTTATATAGAGTAGGGCTAACGATTTGGCAAGCGAAAGATTAAGCCGGAAGCAGCCAACGGGAAGCTATAAACGCAGCGAGCGGTCAGAGCTGAGATTTTTAGGCAGCCGCAAGTTGACTTCCGTGCCAGCAGAGGCGTCGTGAGACAGGAGTAACGGTAGAGTACGCTGTATTTTGCCGACGGCAGAGATTGAACACATACATATATTTATGTATATGTGTGCATTGCGTGTGTGCATACAATAATAGGCAGCAACTAGTGTTAGAGCCGTGTGTGTGTCGTCGTCGTCATCTTCGTCGTCGTCGTCGTCTGTCAGCAACTCCGACAACTCGACAAAGGCCAACAAAGTTCAACAAACAACACGCCAGACACTTCAGTTGGACAAGTAGACAATTGATTATTGATTTTGTCTAAAGGCAACTTCAGAAACAATAGGAGGCGCGGAGACCGCTGCAGCCAGTGTTGTGCAGTGTTAAGCGCTAAAGCGCGCAGTGTTGAGCAGCGAGCATGAAGACTTACAAGCGCTAAGCGGCCAACACACACAAGCACACGCCCACACCCACAACAATCAAAGTAAATACTGCAAGTGAAAAAGGAAAGCAAAAGCAACAACAGCAGTCACTCTCCTTACTCTCCTCACTCTCCTCGCTCTAGCAGCACACCCTCTCTATCTTTCACACACTCTCACTCACACACACACAGCGCCAACATAAGCCGTCTAATTGAGAAAGTGCGCCAAAGCAACAAATCGAAAATGTTCTTCTCGCTCGTACAGACCTTGGTCTGCGTGCTGCTCATCAATGGCGGTCTCTATGCGCTGCATCTGAGCGGCAACAGCGAGAAGCAGACGCCAGGCGCTGGTTCCAGTTCGGGCTCGGGATCGGGCTCGAGCTCGGGCTCCAGCTTGCCGCTGAGCGGCGCTGGACATGTGAGCGCCGGCGGCGCTTGGCAGCCGCAGCCGCAGCAGCAACTGCACCAGCATGCGGGCGGCGGAGCGCCACCTGGCGGCGGGCTAGGCCATGGGCATGGCCATCGTTCGGCCGCGGCGGCGGCATTCGATGCGACCACGGGCCGTTTGAACAAGGAAATAGCGGACATGGCGCAGCTGGAGCGCGAGCGCCTCATGCTGCTCGGCCTGGCCAAGCAGACGGCCGAGAGTCCGGACACGCCCGCCGGCCACCATGGCCGGCCCATCATAGCCGGACGCGTCAAGATGCAGCCCAGCGAGGAGCTGGACGTGAGCGACTACTCCGCGCTGATGCAGCAGGCGGCGCGCGATCTCATGTTTGGCAGCGTCCAAAAGCAGCCGCCGCCGCCAATGGCCACCGACATGGATTACGAGCAGCTGCGCGAGCTGGGCCGGCGGCCAGTCAAGTATGACTATGGACGCGTTATGCAGCCATCGGAGCATGAGCTCGAGGGCGACACGCTCTATGAGCCGCTGCACGGCTTTGGAGACTTTGATGACTTCTCGGAGCTGGAGCCGAACGGCGAGGAGCCGCATGTGGGCGAGGATGAGCTGCTGCGCGAGCTGGATACCTATCAGTATCATGGCCTCGAGGAGGAGCCCTCCGCGCTGCTGGACAACCCGTATCGGCTGCAGGAGCAGCTCGAGTTCGGAGCGCCCGACACACTGCAATCGCTGCTCGAGCAGCAGGAGCTGCAGCGCGATGCGCCGGCCAAGTCCACCAACCAGAAGACGCACTCCAACAGCAATTACAACATACGCATGCAGCAGAAGTGGGCCAGGAAGCGGGCCCAGCTGCCCAGGCAGCAGCAGCAGCAGCAACAGCAACAGCAGCCAGCGCTCCACCGCAACATCTTCGGTCAGCACTTCAAGCAGCAGCGCGGCAAACTGGCCCTGGCCAACTCGGAGGCCACAGCCAGCAAGCACCTGAAGGCAGCCACGCGTTCCGGCGGCTCCAGCAGCAGCAGCGTCGGCAACGTGGAAAAGTCAGCGCAGAATGAGAACGGCGACGCAGCGAAGAAGCAACTGCACGAATCGTCGGCAGCAGCTGTTGGTGATGCACAGCAGCAACAGAAGCAGCAGCAACAGTCGCCATCGTCGTCGTCGTCATCATCATCCTCATCATCATCGTCGGCATCGTCATCGCAGCAGGAGCAGAACAAGAAAGAATCGGATCCATCGCTGTTGCTTCCCAATCATAAGCGATCTGGCAACGCTGCCAGCGCTGGACTATCTGGCTATACGTCGCCCCCAGTTTCCCACAGCATTGCGAGCCAATTGATGCTGCGCACGGCGCGCGGCCAACGGCAATACGATGTGCCACAAATCGGTGAGTACAACTGATTATCAAATCATATCACATCATATTTCATGTTTAACTTTTAAAGTTCCAAATAAGTATATAAGTGGGCTTACGTCCGCTTTAATTAATGATTTTTGTTTGATATTTTAATATTGGTTTGCGGAAAGAACTGATAGACTTCTAGATCCTGTAACAAAAGAGAGCTTACACATTGCATAGTAAAGTAACTCATGTCTATCAGGAATTCGAATATGGAACATAAATATACAGAATTAGTATTATAGAAAAAGACTTATACCAATCATAATATTAAATTTCTAGCTTAATAAAACTGCATTCATATATTCCGTTTTAAAGTACCAGATATCATCAAAGGCTAATGTTTTTAATCTTGTTTAAAAGAGAGAAAGAGAGAGAGAGAGAGAAAGAGAGAGAGAGAGAGAGAGAGAGGAAAAAATATAAATTAAAAAGTAGAATACGACAACAGAATCAAAAACATACAGCAGCAATTAATTTCTAATCCAACTTTACAATTTAAAAGAAAAGTAATCGGATTCATAGAGTCTATCTATGAGAAAATTGTAATAATTTGAAATATATTCAAGCAGAGATTAGGTAATATAGGAGAGAGCTATCGTATATTCTCTATATAGACTCTGCATATGCATGCAATTGATGCGATATAGACACAAGCTGTTAATGATATCTAATAAAGTCATATCATATGGGTATAGCTTATATATAATGGTAATTTGATCATCTAGATGCGACCAATTTCGAGAATGAATTGAAGCAATAATATTGTTATTTTGAAAGGCTTCATTTACATTCTCATTGTCTTGCAACTATTTTTATAGAAAATCAATTTCAACAGCTATAAATAGTATGAATTATGATGTTTGTTTAATAATCTATACCACAAATATATGCATATATGGCTAAATAGATTATAAAAATCAAACATGTATATACATAGATCTATCTCATTAGGCGTTAATAACATTTGTATTTGTTCTGGAAGCCCATTCCCTAATTAAACATTATCTCTGCCTCGCCGCCCCCTGCTCCAAAAATTTGTCATGCTCTTGAGAGCGAAGTATACATGGTATAGCTAATTTTATACCTCGCCTGCCAGGTTGGCTCTCCATTTATTGTGAGGGCAGTCGCGCTTAGCCCTTGGCGTGTTTACGTATTTCGGTTACTTCACTTGATTCAGTTATTAGTTTTTATGACTTATTTTTATTTTGGGTCGCGACCAGCCCAAGGGCGGTCGCTAATTGTTCCATTGGTCCGCATTTTTCTATTTTTACATCAACATTTATGTGGTTCCCTTTCTTATTCGTTTTATTCATATTGGCATAGAGCAAAGTTGGAGTATATGTATATATGTATCTATGTATGTCTAGCTGGGACAGGCCCACGGAATTAGTGTGGGTCGCTTGCATAATTCATAGTTCAAAGACTTCCAGCGACAACAATAACAACTGCAGTGCGTTAGCGGCTTTTCGAATTTAATCCTTTTAGCCGGGCCAAGTTGGCTGGTTGGCCAAGCTCGCCAGGCTGTTCGGGCCGTCATCAATCAAGAATCAGCTATCATTTAATAGATTGTCACTAAATCATTTGTCAACAAACTGGTCGGCGTGCACGGACAAAGTTTTTCGGATCGAAACGCGAATAGCTACACCCAAACATGTATAGATAAATATAGATATGTATGTATATGTGTTTTACGAACGTTCGCATTTAATTGGCAGCTATATTTGGAAGTTTTCAACTTTCTGGCCATTGCATTTTAGCAAATTAGTCGCATTGTCTGTGAGCAGTTTTCCACGAATTTTCATTGCCGCACACAGCTCAGTTCAGTGGCATTTTTCAACGGTCTGGCAACTTCGCTGGCAACTGGCAACTTGGCTGGCGGCTTTTGGGCTAAATTACTTTACACCAACTTTTGATGGTCGCCATGAATACTGAATGGACTTGGAATTAGAACTGCAAGTGTAGCTGGAACTGGAACTGAAACTGGTACTGAGTATAACTGGTTAACGTTGGCGTTAGCGCATTGTAATCAATTTTAATTTTTAATTAACACTTTCAAGTTTAATGACATAATTTTTACGGCCATGAGCTAAATGCCACGCCATCGCGACAGACACTTGAACGCTCACAGAGGAGGCGGCTCGGGCGTGCATGGGGGCGTATTATGGGGCTTATTAAAATGTCGAGAATTTGGAAAATCTTTGTTGTTATGGCTGGCGGGCCAAGCGATGTATTCCTAATGAACAGTTGAGCCATTTCGCTAAGCTAATTGAAGTCGAACTTGTTCCAGGAACTATTGAAACTGGAATCTTGGCAGACACAATTTGATTTTTGCCAGAGATTGAAAATGATTTATGGAAATGAAAATCAATTTAATTAGAGATAGAAGAGTGAGTGAGGTAACTTTTAGTGGAGGTTGAATGTCTATAAAAAGGCAGTTGAAAAGTTAATTGCTTTGGATTTTTTGTTTATCTAAATATTACAAGTATTTATCATTTTTTAATTTTCTCAATGTTTATTTTAATTAAAATATATATCTGCTATTTTTTTTAAATAATAGTATATGAATATAAATAATATAAAATATCTTTTTCAATATAATCAATTTATATAAATTTTATCAATTTGCTTATACAATTTTTCATTTCTAATAATAATTATAGCTGTGATTTTTTTTATATAAATATATCAAGATAAATAAATAACTAGTAATCCATTTTCAATTTATATTTTTTTTATTTATAATAAAATAAATTAAAGCAATTCAAATGCAAAATACTCAAAGTCTATAAGCCAATCAATTTAGCTTGAAACTGTTATAAGCCCACTTTCCCACACTCTCTTTCTCGCTCTCTGTTTTACTTACTGTCTCCTTCTCCATCTTATTCTGTGTAATATCCGCTCACATCAATATAAGGAAAATTGCTGTAAACTTTATTTAAATGGATTTTCCGCTCGTCAAAAGAAAATTTTGGTTCGTTATGGTGAAACACAAAATTCAATAAGACAATCAATGAATTTTCATTTGATGCGCATGTTTGCGCAATATCTGCTGCTGCTGTTGCTGTTGTTGTTGTTGTTGCCAATTGTCACTGGCGCTTTTCATTGGAAATATTCTAGTGTGTTTACGCACAACGCAGAGAAAAACCTTGACAGCGCACAGCCCCAGTCCGGCCCACATTTCCAACGGACTTTTGCTTATTTCAATAAATATATACACATATATGTATATGTGTATATTTTAATATATATGTATATGCGTGTGTGTGTGTGTCGAGCAACATGTGTGCGCTGCCCTATAGACGATGCAATAACGTCATCAACTGTCATCGAGCATTGAATTGTCGCTGTTGTTGTTGTTCGTTCACACTTTGCAGTAGTTGGGAAAATTACAATTGTTATTTCAAGTGTTTACATTGAAATTGATCACACACACACACACACACACACACACACACACACACACACACACACACACACACAGAGAGAGCCACCCACACACGCACAGCGCGGCATTTGCCTGGCGACAGAGCCTCACGCCTGTCGCTGCGGTGTGAACTCTGCTGCAGGAGTCCTGCTGCTTGCGTGTGTCCTGTGCTGACCATGCCCTACGGGCATCTCCCTCTCTCCCTCTCTCTTGCTATCTATCTGTCGCTCTCTGTGGGAAAATGCTCGCTGGCAGCTTCCTCATTGCCGCATTAACCTTTTCCATGGAAAAATGTGCGGCATTTATGTGATGGTCGCGTTTTTATATCATTACACCACTTATATACTTTCACATGATCCTTGATGTGTATGCGTAAGTGTGTGCGTGTGTGTGTGCATTGTGTGTTTTTCCCACTAATTTAGTAACAACACCCCAGGGGGTGCCTGCTGACGACCATCAGCCGTAGCCGTTACCGCCTTCGCCTTCGCCTTTGGCTCTGCCTCCGTCAACGTCGCCGTCTCCGTTGCTGTGGCTGTCTCCGGCGGACATGCCACAGACACAACACTCATTTATATGGTCGCTGTTTGACATGTCCTTGCTGTGCGGGCAGCGTGCGCACGCCTTTGGTTTTCACTTTTGTTGATTTAATTTGTAATTCGAGTAACAACTCCGAGTGGCCACTGCCCGCACACTCACACACACACATACTCGCACTCACACATTCACATTTTCACATCTGGGGCACAGCGGACGCGCCTTCTTCAACTGTTCAAAGCGCTGTTAAATATTACGCAAATTAGTTGGAAACGTTATTAGAGTCCCCTCTCTCCCTCTCCCTCTCCCTCTCCCACTCTCTCACACTCACACACTCACACTGTGTGCTCTAGGGTGGGCTACGTCAGCGGTGTCCTGTCATGTGCGTGGGCTGCTGCAGCCGCGCTGTCTGCGTCTATGGAAAATTTCTCAAGTCGAGCCCAGCTAAGGCGACGACAGGCTGTCTGTTGGCTGCAGGCCTTCTGATTGGGATAGGTTGTGTGCCCCTCCCTCTCTCGCTCTGTCTCTGTCTCTCTCTGGGTGCGTGTGTGTGCATTGGTGTGTACCTGAACTTCTCAATAATCGGACATTGAAATGCAAAGGCGGCAATTTGATGCGCCTGACTCGCTTTAGAAGATCAGACAAGTCTTTGATTTTCAATCACATGCAGTGAGACAGCAGAAGATGTAAGCTGCTTTATTTAAGCATCTTAGACAAACGACTAAAATTATACATGATTTATATTTATGGCCAAATCAAAGCGCATATAAATAAATGTTCAATTTATATTCAGAAATAAGCTTAACTTGAACCGCAAGTAATTTTTATTGGGTTTAAATTTTATGAATTTTATTCAGTTTAAGTTTGGTTTTGGTAGCTGAAAGTAAAGAAATATATTTAATGTTGAGACTAGTGAAAATATATATTATTTTATATTTTTTTCTTTATTATTATTATTTGTTTTTTTATAAAGATAAATTGGAAAATCTGTACATTTATGGTTTTCATTTTTATACCCTAAGCCAAACAT